GCTGTCATCAGCAAACAGAAAACATTTAGAGGTTTTCAAGACAGCTGGCATGTCATTAATGAAGAGTATAAATAGTAAAGGGCCGAGTACACTTCCTTGCGGAACACCACTTGTTACATGGCCTTTTGGAGATGCTTCATTGTTAATTAAGACATTTTGCGTGCGGTTTGTGAGATAGGAAGCAAAAAGTTCAAGAAAGCTAACGTCAAAGCCTAAATTACCAAGTTTCAAAATAAGTATATGATGAGGAACTTGATCAAAAGCCTTGCGAAAATCGAAGTACACAGAAAGACATTCGCTTTTTGCCTCGACGTCGTTATAAATCTGATCTAGGTATTCAAGAAGCTGAGTAACAGTCGATCGCTTGGTCATAAAACCATGTTGAGCAGGTGTAACTTTAGCCCGAATTTTAGGATAAATGAAATCGAAGATCATTCTCTCCAGAACAATCGATAATTGAGGCAATATGCTAATCGGGCGATAATTTTCAACATTTTCGGGATTACTAGATTTAAGAACTGGCGTAATAAACGCACATTTCCAAAGTTCTGGCCACGTTTTAGTTTCCAAAACCTTGACAAAGAGCTGCACGACTAGAGGAGATATTAATTCACTGCAGTAGTTAAGAATAAAGGTTGGGAGGCGGTCGTTGGTAATACAAGAAGTTTTAGCAAATTTGAGAGCTTTCTCGACCTTTTTAAGGTTGACATGGAGATCGGATAGAAAAATGGTGGGTTTTTCGGGTTGTAAGATTTGAATTTCATGCTTTTCTAGAAACACTGAACAGAAGTAATCGTTCAAAAGAATGGCTATTTCAATAGAAGTGGATGCTTTTCTATTCATCCAGTGCATTTGGTTTGGTAGTTTCCTTCTGGTAAAAGATCGAAGGTATTTAAAGCAATCACGGGTAGAATTTGGTCTTAAAGATTCAAGGAGACAAGTTTTATCCAATTCGATTGAATTGTTAAGGTCTTGTTGGATCGAAGCTAAATGATTTGTGTTGGCTGTCCGTTTAGATATGGAATGATGCTTATTCAGTAAATGAACTGTATGCGACGAATAATAATAGGGAAGTTGCTGGCGTCTTTTAGTTTTCTGAGCGCATGATGAAAGAATTGCATGATTGATCTGAGCGTACCAGCTATCTACATAATCATTAGTGGTGGATATGGAATAACATGAGTTTTGTTCCACAATGAGTTTGGTAAAGCAAGGGCTGATGTTAGTATTGAAGATCGAATGAGAAAAAGATGATTTAGATAGAGAGGTTTTCATAAAATTCCCACTCACAGTAGGCGCTGCTTCAGGAATGGTAAAAAAAGCAAATAAAGGAAAATGGTCTGAGTAAAGCACTTCATTTACAAATGCAGTGAACAATTCTGTGTGCGAAGTTAAAATGATATCAAGAGTGTTGCCTGAGCGATGTGTGGGTTCATATATAAGGGGCATTAAGCTATGATCCTCAATAACCTCTAGGAACAGTTTCGAGTAATCACAGCCACCATCAGAAGATGCCCAACAGATATCCGGCAGATTTAGGTCACCTAAGATTGTGTACGAACTAGAACCATTAATCAATTTGGAGTTAAAATAACGTATTGAATCAGTAAGCATTTTGGCAGGTATCCGAAACTGCGACGAAGCGGGGGGGTTGTAAATAAGGAGGAAAATATGATTAACTGCACCCGAATATATTGAAAGTCCGATGCAGTAATCTGCATCGTATGATAGAGTTGAATAATTTAGAGCAAAACTCCTTTTTGTAGCAATGAGAACACCTCCGTGTTCTCCAGAAGTGCGGTCTTTTCGAGCAATAACCGAATAGGGAGAATTCATAGGAAAAATTTCGGGATCAGTAACTTCTGGTTTAAGCCATGTTTCAGTAATGAACACGATATCAGGAGAATGTAAAGAAAGAAAATTGATTAACTTCAGACGCTGATTTATGCTCAAGAGACTTTGTGCGTTGATAAGGCATAACTTTGATTGTAGTCAGTCAAGATTGATCTTGATACCATTTCGTTCGAGGGTCAGACCACGAATTTTTAGCTCATCGCGTGGAACTTTTTCATTGTTAATCATGTCGTACCGTTTCTTGAAGATTTTACGTTTCAGAATCTGTTCTTCTTGGTTCAGGGACTTCGATATGAAAATCTTTTCTTTGAAATTCTTCAGTTTGTAAGATTTTGCCAGGCATTTTCTAGCATTCCATTCGGATGACAGACGAACAAGTAAAGGACGCGGTCTTCGTTGTTGGGGATTAGCTTTACCAAGTCTATACATTTGGCAGATACTGAGATTTTCTTCGCCTATATGATCAAAAATTTCGGCCACTTTGGCTTCTTCGGCCTCTATATTGGATGTAAACTGTCCGTTGTCTTCGCAGACCCCGTCGATGATTATCTCGTTTTCACATGTGTTGGCCCGGTGACTGTTATTAATACGACTATTAACCGGTACATTCGATGATGTTGTCTTGGTTGGATCAACATTTTCAACAGTTTCTTTAATGCTTTTTGTAATTTCGATTAAGCTTTCTTGTCTTTGAATAATCAGTTCAAACTTAGCTTGGGATGTGAAGATGTTCCCCTCAAGGCAGCCAGAGCACAGCCAGAAGCATCCTCGAATTTTGCCCATTGTAGCTACATCATCAGGAGACAATCCAACACATTGCCCATGGAACCACGCGCTGCACTTTTCACATCCTATAGCAGTTGAGTCGTTGTCCTTCACTGTTTTGTTGCATGGTCCACATCTAGTAGCTTTTGCTTGAGACATATCAAACCGGAAACTATTTAATAAGTTTATCACAACAATTAGGCTAAATACTGATATGTAACCACTTTCGACCTTCTGATTATTTTAGAAACAAACTTTTGTTGCCTTTTGCTGTCGAGATATAATTTTTGTTGCCTGAAAAAAATTGACCTGATCACCCTTTTCTAGGTTACAAATGTCTTCGGTGAAACATAATCAATTGGGCCAGAAAGCCAACATTATTAAAAAAGATTCCTTTCACGGTCAGACAACATCGAGATCGTCTACAAATAAATCAACCCTATCATCCAAGAGTTTCAGTACTAAACACCCATTAGTCGAACCTCATATCACGAAACCAACTAATAATTTCTCAGCAGCAATAAAAAAGGATGTTTCCGGCTTACCAAGTGTGAAGAAAGGCTCAAATAAAACCGTAGTTTCAACGCCAAGTGAAAGACCTTTATCTGTTAGTGCAAATGAGCAGTTTCCTGCAAGTCCGAAGCTATCCCTTTTTGAAGCTTTGGAACTGGCGGACAATATAGAAAAAAATAAGCATAAAGCGGACACTGATTCGGTAGCAAGTGAGGCAGCAGTAAGTCAGATTGAACATAGCAGTTCAAATGTACCTGAGTTAGGACATGCTGCTCAAACTGTTCGAGATGCATCAATCAATTATGATCATGAAAGTGTAGTACCGGCGAGATCTCAAACCGACAGCAAATCAACACCAAGAGAAATCAAAAATAGCGACTCTCTGAAACGAAAAGTCTTGACGAAGAGTACTTTCAAGGAGGAAAAGTCAGGTTTGAAGCCCGCTGAAATTAATTACCACCGATATTTGCGAGCTCATTATTTAAATCTATCGCTTCAGAAAGCATACGAGAAACGACAAGAATCGGCTTTTATGCAACTCTATTCTTTAACTGCTGAAAATTGTCGTATTGAAAACGAAATAGCTGATTTCAAAAGTTGCGCCGATCATAATTATGTTAAAGGAGTTTTGAATAAATGCATTGGAGTTTTGAATGACTCGTTATTGCATGTGGTTACACTTTTGAAACAGTTTTTACCGCTATTTGTAAATTTTGCCCTGAGTGTGGATGCAACTAGACATCGTTTTTACCTGAAAGATGTAAAAATTCCTCTCGGAGATGATTTGAGAGTTCCTTTAGATTACTGTAATGAACTTTCTCAGAGTCTAGCTATGCAAGTCGGAATAATTCAAGAAATTTTGAACTCCAATCAAAGTATGGGTAGTGAAAAACTGGAACTGTTTTGCGTCACTGCCGAAAAGTTTGTAACGAAGTCTGACAAAATAGAAAAATCTCTGAAAAAATGTCAGAAAAGGTGTGACATGTTTTTCAGACTAATGAACCAATCTGCAACGAAAACAGTTCCTTCGATTTTGAGCAATGTCAATGCAGCCGATAATTTAGATTTGTCGGTTTTCAAATTTTGAATGTTTCATTTGTAATTGGATTTGTTTTTTGTGTAAATGAGTTTCTGATTTACTAATTAATAGATTTTGTAGATTGACTATCTCTTACCCAAAAGCGAAGATCTAGGTCAGCGCATCCGCATTATTGTTTCAATCACCGAAAATTGGTAGTAGATAAAGTTCAGATGCTTTCTCCGCCTAATGTGGTACCACTAATGAAGAACGGACCCAGAGAGTTATCCTAATAAAGGCGAATGGTCGATGGTCTGTTGTTTATGCCGTAAACATAATTAGGATGTTATTTTGAGTTCAGATATTTTCATTAAAAAAATCAAGCACTTACGAAAAAACATCCATGTGTCGAGAAAATTTATTCAAAATTACCATTTTGTGAACCAATTATGTGTCTAACTTAAATAAGAAATTTCTGTGCTGCTTGCATGGCAACCGATTATTCTTGCCAATTTAGCCTTTGATTCAAAAATTGTTTGTTGCTACCGGCCGCTTTTATTTCTGATTGCAGCCATTTTTTTAAAACCTAATGAGAAGCAAGCGTGTTACAATCAAGAACTAGACTTTGCTACAACTGTTTCTCTTGAAAATGGTTGTCTTTCCTAACATTTGAGTCGCACAACTGTCTTTAAGCTTGAGTTTTTGTTGTAAACGAAAATTCACGGTTTTTGGCTGGCTTTGTGCAGCAGTGAAAAACAGGACTATTGAAATGGGGGTGGATAATGAGTTGCTACATACAATTTTTTTTTCTTCTTGCATACCAGTCCCTTTTATATATGATGGATTTCAGAAACAAAAATGGTGCTCGAATCGACTGTGATCTGCATTGACAACAGCGAGTTCATGCGAAACGGAGACTTCATCCCGTCTCGTTTACACGCACAGCAAGATGCAGTCCAGCTAGTCTGTAACGCCAAAACACGCGGAAATCCAGAAAACAACGTCGCCTTAATGTCTATGGCTGCAGAAAGCCATCCTAAAGTATACAGCACTCTAACTACGGATGTGAACCGAATTATCAGTCACCTAAGTCAGATCCAACCAGATGGTGATTATAAGTTCCTAACGGGCCTCAAAGTTGCCCAAATTGTGTTAAGAAATCGACAGGGCAAAAATCACAGACAAAGAATTGTGGCTTTTATTGGGAGTCCAATTGAAGAAAACGACAAAGAACTGACAACGTTGGCAAAAAAATTGAAGAAAAATAACGTGAATGTGAATATCATCAATTTTGGCGAAGAGGCCAATTGTGAGAAACTGCAGACATTTGTTTCTACTTTAAACCAGGGCAAAGATGAACCGGGATCCCATTTTGTGAATGTTCCCAGTGGTTCGAAACTGAATGAAGCCCTGATGCAGAGTCCGGTGATTTCAGAGGACGGAGGGATGGGCGGCGGAGCTGGTGGAGGTAAAGATTACATATTACCAGACTATTTTGAAGTATCTTGATAATAATTTAGTTAATCATGTTGAATGTGAGGCTGTGAGTTTTTGAAGTAGCTCTGAGAAAGAAAATGGTGGCAAAAGAATTGCGAGGTTGAGCTTCTGATAGAAATTTATTCAGTTGAAAGCTAGAAAATAAGCCAGTCAGTGGTTTTCCACCCTCTTTTGGATTCGAAGGGGTCCATAAGTGCCGTTATAATTCTTTTTGCCTCTCGTTGTTAAAATACTTGTTATTTTCCAGAGACTTTCGTTGCAGCCTGAAGCGGCTTGCATATGAAAAGAGACTTTCCATGTTAGACTCAAAATTTTTGATAAATTCAAATCAAATGATAGTTGTTGTATGACAAAGGTTAACAATCGTGCATGCATGATAAAAATTTGCCCCGTTTTGAAAATTAACGCTTTTCACCGAGAAAGTTTTTTTAGTCACTAGTTTTTGTGTTGGCAGGCATGGATCCGTCTGCGTTTGACCCGAACGAGGATCCCGAACTGGCGCTGGCTCTGAGGGTCTCGATGGAGGAGCAGAGAAAGGCACAGCAGGAAGAGGAGAGGGCGGGAGGGGCACCCATGGAAACAACTGTGGGCCTGGAAACGCCGGCTGGTAAATAATTCTTACTTTGACCTTCAAGTCTTCAATTTGTTTTGTTATTTACCTAATTATTACCAGGAAGCTCGTGCTCATTTTGCCTTGAAAAAGCTCTGATTGGTTAAACAATACCAGCATCTAATTGATTAGTATCTTGAAGAGCAGATGTAGTGACTTGAAATCGGGAACTTTTTTTTTTCCGGTAAACAACTTTTCTTGTATTTTCTGCCGACATGCGCAAAGGCTGATTCTTGAACATACAAATATAAAAATGAAAAAATGTTTACTTTTTCGGATTTATGGTTTGCATCCTAATTTCTGTAGGCAGATTTCCCGTTTTTTTAATGCACTTTATATTAGTAGGTAAGATTTTCAAACAGTTCCTTTTCAAAGATGGGGTTTTAAGTTTTTGATTCAAACAGTTTTTACTTAAAATCAACGTTGCTCTAGTTTTTTTTTCAATTGAACGGGTTTGGGGTATATATCGGGTCGGCTTACTTAATTTATTTTGAGAATTTTTAAGGGAGAATTTTTTAAATGCTTTTGCCTGTTCCAGGAGAGATGGGTCGTAAAAATTTTACTTCAAAAAGTTTTAACGGCTTGCATATTTTTGTAGAGAGTTTCTTTCGACTTTTTTCAATTTATTTTTTCTGCTTAATTTTTTTTTGAAAAAGCTTAAATGGAAACCTTTGCAATAAAAACCGCTTCTTTGTTTTTTTATTGATTTAGATGAACGGTTAAATTAAAATGGTTCACATCTGGTTATTTATAGGTGCCCCTGCAGTAGCTACTCCAGTTGCAGGCCCCCCTGCTTCATCAACTGGGGGTGCTGGCGGGGGTCAGTCGGAAGACGCTCTTCTTCAGCAGGCGCTGAGTCTGTCGATGGGAGGGGTTCCTCTGCAGAAGGATCTGAGTCAGATGACGGAGGATGAGCAGATCGAATTGGCACTCAGGATGTCCATGCAACAGGACGAAGCAGCAGCTGCAGCAGGAACTGCAGATGGTATGTTTATTTCAGTCATTCACAGAACTGCTTTTTTGAGTGCCTTTAATTTATATCCCTTTGCCCAATAGCTGATTCAGGGAAGGACAGATGCCCCTCATCTCAGGTATTCGACCCACTGGCCACCCTAAATTTTTTCTTTGGCACTTTTAGGGCATCAATTTATCAACCAATTTACCAACTGTGGGGGGAAGGGGGGAGAGAAGTGGTTCTAAAATGAAAATGTTTCGCGCCAACATACCAACATATACTAACTTTGAGTGATGTAAAATTAGCAAATTAGGGTCTGTATAGTGATTTGGGAGAGCAGTTTGAAAAATCAACTTTTTGGATGATCTCAAAAAACGATTGACAAAATTTTCAGTTTTTTTTAAATCCACCTGTTGTGTCTGTTATATATTGGGCTATTTAACATTGTAATTGCTACTTAATAAAACGTTTGTGACTCAGTTGAAAGGCGATCACTCATTTTGTATATCAAATGACAGTTTCTCACCATTATCGGATCGATAAAAAATCAATCTGTTTGGATAAAACTGAAAATTATCTAGATTCGGTTAGTCATTCAGCGAAATATTGCACTCTCAATAGTGGTTAGAGCCTATTCCTTGTTAAGCTTTTATTTGTGCTATACTATCCTGGTGTTTCGATTATTTTTTGAAGACCAATTTTTTACAGCCGCAGCAGTAGAAACTTCCTCACAACCTATGGACGCCACGCCATCCTCAACAGCAGCCGCCGGAGGATCAGATTCGAAGACGGAAAAGGACGACCAGGAAGACGAAGAGGAATTGGACGCCGAGAGCCTCCAGGCAGTTCTGGCATCACTTCCTGGCGTGAACCCCGATGACCCCCAGATTAAGGAACTTCAGGAGCAGCAGAGGAAAAATAAAAAGGGAGAGGGAGAGAAATGAAGTGGAATCATTTTTAAATAGTTGATTGAAGAGATAAAGATAACATTGGCAATAATGTGTTGTATAGTCGATAGATCATATCGGTCATATTTTGCTCCCTATTTGAATAAATTGATAACTGGAAAACAAGTTTAAAAATGAAAAGTCAATGTTTATCTTGCTATCGTCCCAAGTTTTGTTAGCAGCCTCCATTTCATTTTTTTTGGCTAGGTAAGCAAGGGCGCAAATTTTTTTCTGAGTCAAAATTATATGTGAATTGATTGTAGTTTTTTTCGCAATGTTGAAGCTGGGATGTTTACTTTGAAAGTGTTAACTTTAATTTTACAGATTTGTCATTTTCTGTTTTGACGCCGCAGCCAAGACATAATTTAACTCGAGTTCGTGCTGTGGTTGAAAAAGATTCATCTTAGTAGCTTAAGGATTTTATTATTCTGTTCAAAGCAATACAAGCAACATCTGGTTAACCGAGTGAAAACATTAGGCGGCTGAGGTTTTAAAAACTTAGATCGAGAGTATTGTTTAAAATTTGATGAATTTTATTTACGGATTTGATGTTTGCCGATTATATGATCATGATTGGAGTCTTTTTATCTAGATCTTTTTTTAGTAACTTCCCAAATGGCATAATTCCCAAATGGCTTAAAAATGAAACTTTTCCCAAATGGAATACGTTTCAAGTTTTCATTGTAATTCAAACGTTTTCAATCAATTTCTAAGGAGCTTGTCAGGAACGAAAACATGTGAACAAGATTTTGAATTATTTGCTTTCAAGCAAATGTTAAGCAACAAATTTGTCGGAAAAATTGACCACTTGACTACTTGACTAATTTTCTCACATTATTGTTCACGAAAAATTTGTTCCCGATTCTTTTAATGCACCTGTTGCATCAAATTATGGCATTTGGGAAATTTTTCATTTTATGCCATTTGAGACGTAATTTTTTTTTTCATGAACTTGTTCAACCTCATTATCGTATTTTAGTGTCACTTCTGATTTTGTTAAGCCAATGGAAGGCAAATTACGATCTCTGTTACGAAATTGCAGATTGTGCGAAACATCAAATTGATTTCAAATTCCAAAGGTCGATTTGATTTAAAGAATCGCTTGATGACTAAGAAAAATACCTATTCCTTCAGTGTTCTCGTATTGGGTGTTTTTATAAAGCGTAAAAGAATGAAGTTGTTTTTATTTTTATAGATCTTGATTTTTTCCAGGATTTGTTTTTCTTTGTCAGGAAAAAAATCTTGTTTACGCTCAGATTTGCTTTTTCGCTGTTGGATTTTTGATTTCTTTTTAAGTTCATTTCGTTGCTAAAAGGAAGGCAGACTCTACTATCCCTCAGCAAAAGGGTACAGGTTAAAAACGTGATCGATTTCTATTTTTGACAATTGAAATTTAACTTTCAGATTTTCCAGCGGATTAAAAAGTTTATCAATCGAGAAGTTCTTCAAATGCAAATTTCTGAGATATTTTTTTCTTCAATAGTTGAAAAATTTTCAATCAACTTTTTCGGTTCTGAAAAACTAGATCTAATATTGTTTTCTTTGAAAGTTGAAAAGTTTTCAGAATAATTTTTTATAAATTTCCCTGTTCTGTAAACTTTCTCCATTCTTGTTAGGCCATGTTTTTTCTCCTTGTGATTAGCAAGGGTATTTTTGCAACAAAGTTTTTGGCTTTTTTATATTATCGGTTGTCTGATTATTACTGTAGGCATGATTCCCTCTGAATTAACTTCGGAAGGTTCGATTTCGTTCTAGCATACCGAAAGCTCCTTGTGAAGTTTCTTATGGCGCAAGTATTTTTGATCCAGGATTTTTTGAACTTTTTACGCTTGCAATTAGCAAGCGTTAGCAAACGGGAATATAGACTTTTTGTATATAGACAAATATAGACAAATTGTTTGACAGAATCAATTGTATCTTGATTCATAATGAATTCAAATTTCTAAGCGTCTCCGGCACACTTAGTATGGAGGCAACAAATGCGCCTGGGAAGGCAAAGGTCCTGGTTTGAATCTGAGCAAGACCTGTTTTTTTTTTCAAATGGTAAATCCTCCGTTTCTAAAAGATTGTCGGCTTATTTGTCTGCTTATGTCTTGTTGGCTTAGTTGCCACATCTTAGAATTTTTTCCTCTATGCAGTTTTGTTTTCATTGTAGTTGCTTTTTTGTTTTATTTTACTCCTGCAATTTGTAATTCTACTAGCCTTGAATTCGTATGTTTTCCTTTTTTTGCCGCAAAAATTTTTACGACTTAAATGATTTTGGCTTTTATTTTACCGATTTACTCACCTAATTTTGGGCCGTTCGAAGGAAACATAATTTTTATGCTTTCATCCGGATTGCTTTCAACGTTAAAGGTCTCAGAATAGAATTTATTCAAAGTTTTTCATGAAAACAGTTTTGTTTTCGCTCATGAGTTGTTTTTGAGTTTTCATTCAACGCCGTCGACTGTGTTTCTGGACGTGTTTTCCGCAAAGAGAACATCATTCCAGATTGAAGTTTCATTGTTTTCGAAAAGTTTTCGTTTTGGACTTAGTGGATCTCTTTTCCGTTCCCGTCTGCTAGCTTGCAATGTTATTTTTGGTAGCGCAAGAGATGCGAAGCTCTGCTTCGCCTCTGTGTTCATATTTTCTTTTCAGTTGCTTTTAATCATAGTCGATCATTTTTTAAAATTGCTTGTGTAACACTTGCGATTGCAGTTACTTTATTTCAACATGACTAAGAGTCGATGAACGTAGTTCATACTCTTATATAGGTCGCGATGATTTTTTTCAGTACTCAATTTTACTTTGTTCAGGCTCAAATCTACATTTTTGGGATTTGACTTTTGATTTTTTCACTTCATTTCCGTTGTTAAAAGGAAGGCAAACTCCACTATCGAACAGCCAAAGTGTAAACGAAAAAAGTGATCGACTTCTAGTTTCGAAAGTGGAGTTCAATTATCAGATTTCCCAGCGAAATAAAATGTTTACTGATTGATCCTGTCTTCTCAAATTGGGTTAATTTAATCAAAAAAGTGCCAATCATAAATTAATCTGGAAATTGAAACAGGTTTAACGGCTTCTATTTTTTTCAAACTGCGAAATTCATTATTTTTTTCTGTTTCTTGCGTTCAATGACGCTTTGAATATTGAATAAACAAATAGTGTTATGATTTTTGGAGTTCGTAACCACCAATTGTCGGTTGGCTTCGTTTTTAGTTAACCGAGTTGATTGATGGTTTGGTATCGAAATCAAAATATTTGGGATGTTGATGATACTTGCTTCAAATAAATTTAGTGTATGAAAACTCAGCTATACTGTTTTCTTAGTTTTCCTATCACTGAAAGTGGGAAAAAGCTTTGTATCGGCTGTTTTTTATGATGTTTCTGTTTTTTTCTCTGGTAACACATTTAGGTTCAGATAGGGTTGAGTGGTATATCTCTATGCAAAGCCTTTTGAGTAGCAGTTCGATTGATTTTTACAATTGAACCGGTGTCGAGAAATAGCTTGATTTTTTAGCGACAACCGGCTGCACTTGTCTTGCTTACGATATTAGTTGGTTTTATCTGGTAGGGGGAAACGGTAAAAAAAGTCCGGGTTTCTGTGCAAGTAGCGCAGAATATTCCGACCAGTATTTTGTTTTCAAATTTGTTTCGTTTTTTTTTGTGCGTGCATGGACAAGGGAGATAGTCAGCGTCTAAGCTTAAAATCATCAGGAATAGCTTCAGTTGGCTTTAGTTATCTTTGCACAAATTATAACGAAGGCCTTTATTTCAGGTATTTTTACGTGTCTGTTTTTCAGAAATTGTGTTTTGATTTGCACTGGCAAAGCGTTAAATTAATCTTCGAAAAATGCTTTTTAAAGCTTAAATTTTTTTTAGCCTAATGAAATACGTTTTGCTCTACTCGTTCGAGCGATCGAATCATGATTTACAGGGCTTTAATATAATATATTTTGCTTGCTTTTATTTGTTGTATCTGATATCTGATTTTGGTGGCAAAAAACTAAAAAAAAGACAAATTTCCTCCCGGAACAACAGTCATTGATAGCTCAATTAGAAATTACCCACTTGTTAATTCCTTGTCCATATTGCTTGTAAAGTTTAAAACGTCTGGTCGGATGGCTGGCTCAGAAAAAAGTCAAAATATCTCCTCCCATAGCACAAGCGAAGTTCATTGTACTCGATAGGTTGAAATTTCGAGCATAGTAACTTAACCTCTACCAAGGGAAAATAGGTAAGATGCTGCTAAATTGATCCGAAATTTATTCAACCCACATTCAGGAGTTTTGTAAGCATTGGCATTTTAAAGTGAAGAGACGAAGAGTCATATTTTTATCGAATTGTTGTCTGTTGTTTAATGCAGTTTGGCGCTAGAAATGTTAAGATTCAGTACGGGTCGTAGAAATTGTAAGTTTTTGATTTTAACGAGTAAATGAACGTGTTTTTATACTCGTTTTTGAGTTTTCTCTGCATTTATGTAGAATATAGGGTTGAAATTTTGATACAACCCTATAAAACAATTTAAAGATGAAACAATCTAGATGAAACACTTTAGAAGATGCTAGCTGGATCAAAGTTTGAGAAATACTGTTTCGAAGGACTAAAATATGCAGTAAATCTTATTTAGTTTCATGGTGTTATTGCTGAGAAAATATCGTCCCAATAAAGATAAGCAAATTAGACGGATGCTACAAAAACGAAATTAGACGGAATTTAGTTTTTGCAGATCTGGCATTTTAGACGAAAAAACTATGAAAAAAGAAAGGGCCAACAAAATTTTTTCTTAAGAGTCAAGTTTCACAAAAACAAAAAGAGCATAAAATGTCAATACCTATCAAGGCAATTAGTTTAAATGAACAATAAATATCAAATCCGAATATTACAAGAGAGTTTTGAATTGAATAAATTATGCATGATTGACTTTTAAAGTTTTTGGCCACGGAAATTTAACTGTTGTCTACAAACAATTATATTTTTCTCGCGCAATTTGTCTGCAAACAAATTTGATCTCACTCATTTTCGTCTATTTTCTTACAATTGCAGTTTTGCAAAATCGTCTATATTCCTTTTAAGTACCTCCGTCTAATTTGCTTATCGTCTAATTTCTCAACCCCCGAAATTTCAATTTATGGTATCAAGTTGGTTCTTTGGGAAGATTAAAAGCTTGACTCAGATTTAATGCCGCCGAAAATTTATAGACAAAACAATTGAAAAAGTTTACTGGTCCGGCGTCAATGAACTGCCAACTAATTTTCAGTTATTTTGCGCTGATGATCGGAATAAGCCATCTAAAGAACTGTTCCGGCAAATATTTTGGTAAAATGAGTCTTACGATCCATGTTTATACAATTCGCTTAATCAGAAGCAGTTATTTTGTCTCTACATTTTTTTTTGTCGAAATTTCTGGTTTAAGCGCCGAAAACCTTTTAATATCTGTATCATCAAAACAGCACCGTTTTTTGACGCCTGACCAGGTAACTTTTCAATTGTCGTTTTTCTGCTTCGTAAAACGAAGTCAAGCTCATCTGCTTCACAAAGAACCAATTTGAGCCCATTTATTCAAATTCATTTTGTTTTTGCTGGTATGTTTCTGTGGCAAAAACACCAGAAACTAATTGTAAAGCTATTTTACGCCTTCAAAACAAGATTTTTCAAATTTTGATCCAGGTAACTCCTTCCAAATGGTTTTATCTAACATGTGTCAAAACTTCATTCCTTAATCTTTAATGGTTGCAGAAACGAAAACGACACAAACGTGAAGAAACATTTGCGCGTTGAAAGAAAAAAGTTGTAATTTTTTTTTCCTGTGATTGTATGTTTTACTGAATATGCGATTTATCGGACACAATTTATAAAGGATTCCCATTTAGCCCACGTGTAGAAACAAAAAAAGGATAAGATACTGACAGGATTAAGGTTTTGTGATCATCGCATTCATGGAAAAAGATTTTGAAGCGTTTTCTGAATTGTTAAAAGGGAAATTGAAAACATAACAAAGCAGTCAGTTCACTGCGTTTATCCGCGGGAAAACCTGTGAGCGCCAGAAAGTTTACACGATCAATCGAATATGGCTCTATTCATGCGCTGCGGTTGTCTGGTGAATTGTCTTAATATCCAACTTGTCTGGTAATTCTTTCTTAAGATACTGCAGGCCAAGAATATGTTTGTTCATGTTTCTGCTCCATGAAAATGAGGGCTTGAGTTTACTTTTAAATAAACTCTTCTATATTAATGTAATCAAGACAGGAAACATATTGCGTATTGAAAGCTCTAAAAGTTTGAAGATTCCGTGCGCAATAAAGTTAACTTAAGTCTGGTTTCTCATTTTTTTCCTGGTAAAACTCAATTCGATTATTCATCTTCAGGTACAACATGGTGCAGAAAAGCGGGAATCCGAAACCAAGTGACAAACCGACCAGACGAGACAAGGACAGCCCCATGGCATCATACGAAGACAGACTGAAGGCGGTGCTCACTCGCAAAACACAAATAGAAGAGGAGCGAAAGGCGGCTGCTAAAAAACGCATGCTCGAAAGCACTTTGAAACACCAGAAGCTAGTCGAACAGAAGCGCAAAGAGTTCGAAGAGAGAAATCAGCATAATAACTCAAGGATCGCTTCGGTGTTGCAACGAAAACAAGAGATTATGCTGGAAACTCACGCTAGAAAGGTTGCAATTCTGAGAAAAGTGGAACTGCGATGCATTAAGGCGGCCGAAACCAAGACTAAAACAGTTGGCAAAGTGTCCAAGAGAAAAACGTCTCTTTCTCAAGCTATATTTCATCAACTTGAGTTACCTAAGAGCAGGTTCAATATGGGCAGAAAGGCAAGGTCATCTGCTGTTGCGCCTAAAAGGTTGGTTAATTCAAGTCGCGCTGTTGCTCCGAAGTCGCCAGTTCCGATGTCACCAAAACGAACGAGATCGGCTTCGGGAACAAGAGCTGCTTCGAGTGCATCTCACTCCGCGTCTAATTTTATGAACGATCCCGCACGGTCGAAGACTTTAACGAGGGACAAAAAACCGAAAACACCGGCACAGCGAACATCGTCTAAAGATTCGAGAGATATAAGAAAGTCAGAGCCCTTGTTGATGCAAAAGAAATCAGCACCCAAGACTTCGCTTTTTGCAAATGACGCCAAAAATGTTGCTGCTAAAGAAAAGGAAACTTCATCTGCCAAAACTGATTCTGAAAATGAAAATGACAAGTCGAAAAAAGATTCGGAAATTGAGTTTTACAAGCAGAAAATGGCGGAACATAGGCGAGCGATGCGAGAAAAAATGAACGCTACAAAAGCGCCACAAAGTGCTAAGATAAAAGTTGCGCCAAGTAGTTCAGCTGCCAAATTGGAAAATGCTTTAGACAGTAAGCTCAATACAAAGGATTTGGACTCTTCTCTGAATCAGATTCTGTCAATTACGAGTTCTAATGCCAACTCTGCTAACAAACAAGCTGCAATTATGGTATCCGATTTCGATGATTTTAATGGCGAATTGGTGACAAAAGACGGTAATAATGACGGACAGGAAAGCGGCGAGGTTCTGGGAACTGTTCATGTTACGGATCCGAAAGTGGGTAAGTCTGGAATCGAAACTCCGGATCGATACTCGGCGACCAACTCTGGAAGTCATACTCCGCCGAACGCTCTTGAGGAACAAAAACTGACGTTCTTCGAAAAAGAGGAAAAGTTTATAATGGACCAGGAAAAGATACGCCAGGAAGCTGAGAAGGAAAAACTTCGAGAGCAAGAAGAGTTCGAAAGAATGCAGGAAGAAAGAAGGAAGGCCGAAGAGCAAGAACGTGCGGAAAGACGAGCGAGGTTGGAAGCGATTATGAAACGAACTAGAACGACGCCAACTAAACCTACATCTGGAGATGAAGAAAAACCGGAACAGCCGAAACCAGAAGAGGCATCTTCAGCTGTCGAATCGGTCAATTCGAATCAAGAAATCGGATCGAAGCAAGAAATGGAACAGGATACTAAGCTTGCTGAAAATAACGATGTCATTTCCAATGAAAATGGGATTGGTTCAACCAAAGTTATTGATGAAAAGCCGACAATTGCTGATCAGATTTTGATTGATGAAGAAAAGTCAGGCGCTATGGTATCGAAGGAGAAATTGGACACTATTGCCTATGTTGGAGAAAAATTCGCTGAAAATGAAGTAAAACCAACTGATCAATTTTCTGCTGAAGGTGAAGCAAGCATTAACTTCACTGATACTGTTTTGACTCTAAGTGCACAAAACTCGAATGTTAATGACAACATCTCAAGTTTGGCTGAACAAAAGAAAGATGTTCTTACCGATGGATCTCAAGACGAAGAATCTCGTGAGCCAGAACCGAATGAAGAGTCGCACAGAGAAGTCGTTGGCACTGACCAATCAGCTCAAGCTGAAAATACACGAGTTGAATCGAGTCGTGAAAACTCACGGGAACACAGTGTGAGTCCCGAGCCGGTAGTGGAATCGGCAAGCGCTGTTTTGACACCTTCTGAGGAAAACGTTAAGTCTGCAAGTTTGGTTCGAGAAAGCAACAAGGAACCTCTCAATTCTGAATTTGCTACTGATGATTCTCATATTTTTCTTAAAAATGCTTCAAACTACGAATCTATTGTTCCTGGAACTAACAAAGATTATAGTAATGATGAAGATTTGCAAAACAATGAGTCTGGATTTTTTGGTCTCGAAGATTCAGGTATAAGTCTAGATACCACTATAGGCCAAGATACTTCAGCTAATGATTTGCTTTCGCTTTGCAGTGCTTCAACTATGCCTAATAATTCTCAGTCTCAATTGCCAACTGTTGTGTTCGAAAATCGAAATCAAATGGATGATAATCAAAAAGCGAACAGTCACAATCAAGGTTCGACAATTACGTCATTCAGTGAAAATGAAAGTTCAGTTTCAGCTTTGGCCACTGATTCAGTTTTGCTTGACTTTTCAGACAACACTTCCAAGAAATTAGTTGATGATTCAATGCAACAATTGACTGATAATTTCGATAAGTTCTTCACTGATCAACAAGGGTTAGATGATACAGGATTTGGTTTGGAGATGGATTCTGGAAATCATAATCTGGAAGAGATTTCACAGAGAAATGAAGAAGCCCTATTGGTCGATATGCAAAATTTCGAAAACCGAAACGAGGAATCTCCAGTAGAGCATGTTTCATAAATCAGAAAAAACTCAAATCTCATAAACTGTCTGAAAAAAATTAATGAAAAATTCTATAAAAACTAAACTATCGTGAATTCTCTGAAATAAGTCCGAACTATCTGATAGTTGCAAAAAAGCAAATTTTTTATGCTGCCGCGGCTGCTTATGTATAAAAAGTTTTAAATCTATTTTGTGCAATATTCATAGTGGAATCTGGGTCTTGCATTGCAGTTATGTAATTTAAGGGGGTGTTTTTGGTGCCAGAAGGACCGAATAACAGAATTTTATTTAAGCCAATCAAATTTCTGAAAGAAAGCATACCATGGCAATTCAATCAGTTTTTAACAAAAACTTTTGATAGGATTTCGATTGATAGAAAATACTTTCTGACATTTGGACTTTCTGTCATAAGATCATCTCCTCTATTTTAGGACTGCTGAGCATTCTGTTATATTATACACTGCCCATATATATGCGTAATAGTTTTGCTTTGATTTTCAAAAATCTTCATTATTTCTGTGACAATATTCGTAAAAATTTCTCAAGTCATGGTTTTTTGCTGGTTTCTAGATCCATTTGCTTTTTATTTATCTGCATTCGTAGACGTTTTTCAGTTGACCAATATAAACAATTTCACCCTGTGCTACCCTGCTGCTTTTTTGGTTTTTGATCTCAACTTTTCAAATAAAGTTCCGAAGGGTGAATTTGTTTATTGGGTGTGTTTTTCAATTGAAGCAGTTTGTAATTGTCATCACGCAGTTTCAGCCAAAATCCTAATTTCATTTGCCAAAACTCACAATCACTCTGAGGTTTGTGACATCTTTTCTCTATCCTTTTTGCTGCATCAAATTCTAATTTGTAGTGCCATTTTAATTCAATCCTAATAACCAATTGCTTGTAAATTTCTGTGAATAATTAACCTCTAGTGTTTTATTTTTACATAGAAGTGTCGTACAACTGACAAACTTTGGTGCTAGTCACATTAAGAATGTTAATAGTGAATTTTTATTCAAAAATTGGCTTGAATGAATAGTTGAATTTGAGTATTTAGTGATTGTGTTTTTGAAAGCAGCCTTAGGTGAGATCTTGAGTCGATCCCCTGCCATGGCCATGATAGTGTGTGACGAGTAGATGACCTTGGATTTTGATTTACAACGACCTGACCGATTTCGGCTGCAATAGGTGATACCACGTGAAAGCTCTAGACAAAAAAACGGCCTTGAGCAGCGAAAAAGAGCTTCACTCAACAAAATATCTGTCTGCAATGTGGGGAAAAATGCTATGGAATATGCTTAGACAGTGTTATTAATAATATCAAGATTTAATCATGGTGACTACTCTTGTTTCGAGTCAGAGTGTTTCTCACACGAGTCATACTTTTTCTGGTAGACAACTTTTCTATCAAAATACGTGAGTAAATTGATAGCTTGGTTTCTAATCGATAGAAGTTCAGTCGATTGATTTTGCACATTAAGCGCAGAAATTATGTCTGTGTAGTCTCGACAGCTGTAGGGGTTGCAGCGTATACAAATCGAGAGTTTTGCAGGCTGTAATTTTTCTGCTTCAAACAAACCTTTTTCAGTTTATTGTGTCAGCTTGCCACAACACGGATTTTGAAATAAAATTTAATCAATATTTTCTCAATATGAACCTCACTACTTGTTTTTATCTGCAAAAGCAAAGTAATGAGTTTTCTATCGACAAACTTTTTCAAACAAAAAAAGAAAGCATTGATATGAGCCTTTTTCAATACAAATTATTGCGAACCTATTGTTTCAATTATAATTAATTTTTGCTTACTAAATTAGTTATTCTTTGCATTATTACCCTTGCAATAAGTAAGGGTCTGGCAAACAGGTACTAGACTTTTTCCCGTAAACAACTTAATCCACATTTCATCATGATCATGCATGCAGTACACGACAGGTATGCATATTTGCTCTCATTGGTCTATTACTCCTACTGTGCATCTTTAAGTGTTTTGTCCAATAAATTTGAAGTTCAAATTTTTTCAATGATTTTTTTGCTATTTTTTGAATTTTCCACTTCGTCGCTTTCGGTTTATTTTTTGTCGGCTTGGTTTCCACTTTGTCGTCCAACTAAATCGCTTATTTGATTTCACTTTTTTCTACGTTATAGTTTTTGTAGGATCGAATTTTGTTCGGATTTACCTCTTGACATTGGTAAATAATTTTTAAACTCTTGACGTTGTTTGTATTTATTTTTTAAAATATTTTTTTTTCGTTCAAAAGTTTAAGTCAGCCAAAACGATTTCAGTCAATATTATATCGGCTTAGTGACATAATTTCAAGCCGTTTCAATGTGCAAATGTTTTTCATGCTCACTTCTGATTTGCTTAAAACGTTACACGTCTTAATTACCCTTGCGATAAGCAAGGGTATTGCAATCGTGTACTAGACTTTTTTTCATGTGAACAACTTTGTCCACAGGACTCCTTGGAATCGTGGTGATACTTTGGTTCATAGTAAATTCAAATTTTCTAGTGTCTCTTGCACACTTACCTTGGTGGTAAAAATTACACCTGGAATGGCAAAGGTCCTGGGTTTGAATCTGACTTAGACCAGTTGTTTTTAATTGGTAAGTATTTCGGTTTAAAATAATTTCCGTCTATTATTTGTCTGCTTATGTTTTGTCCGCTTAGTTTCCACATATAAGAAGAGTTTTTATTAGCTGTAAACAGTTATTTTAAGATTTTGAACAGTTTTTTAAGCATCACTGCATTTATTTAAGCTTTTTAAAAATCCAGCCGAATCGAAGTGTTTGTTTTTGTACCTAGGTTTTAATTTTACCAGCTCGATTTGTCAAAATTTCACCTTTTTTTGTCTTTTTATCAGCTTAATAAAATTCGGCTGAAAAAGTATTGGCTCAGTGGCCTTTTATTGCGTTGTTATGTTCGATAAAAATTTTTGTGCGCGTGTGCGCTCTGAGGAGAAAAAGGACTTAGTATTTTGTATCAGTTCAAAATTTTTTTGAATTTTTTTTCGACTTTTTCGGCTTTTTTTACCGCTTGATAATTACAATTTTAAATCCAATCAAACATCCGGTGCATCTCGATTAGGTGTAACACAACTGCTTTAAATGGCAAAGATTTGCGGTTCGAATCCGGCCGAGCCCTTTTTTGCATGCTAAATTTTTTATTGCGAACTATCGTCCGTCTGCTTAGTTTTGTCGGCTCTGTTCCCGTAGCTCAATTGTTCAGCTTTGATCCAAGTTGCTGTAACTCCTATGCTTGAGACAACAAAACCCGGGAGTTCGATTCCCATGAGACCTGTTTTTCTTGCGCATAGAAATTTTCGACTAAATTAGATTATTGTCTGTCTAATTATTTTTGTCTGATTATTTCCGCAGAAACCTTGGCTTCTGTATAGCCTTCTCAAAGCTCTTTGTAGAGTTTCTAATGGTGCAGGAAATTTTGTTCCGGATCTTTTGGGCTTTTGTTTCATTTTTATTGACAAAAACCATTTTTTTTTTTCATTTTTTTCTTAATTTAATCATAGTCATTCATAAGTGTATCACAAGTGTTGCAAAGGTCAGCTTCGCCGTAGAACTAATGGTTCAAGTTTTTCATCACAATAATTTTTTGGCTTTTTTGTTTTTTTTTTCTTTTTTCGGCTTGATAGGTTTCGGTCTATAATATATCGGCTTATTGACTTCATATTGCGTCTTTCGACGTGCGAAAAAGTGCATGTCTGCGTGTCTGTTTTCTGTGTTTTGAGGGCGAGAGGGGCTTAAAATTTTTTTGTTAGTTTTGAGTTTTGCAATTTTCTTCAGCTTATTTTTTTATATCGGCTTACTTGTCTCATATTGTTTCTTTTGACGAGCAGATAAAGCTTTTTGAGTGTTTTGAGGGCGAGGAGGACTTATTAACTTTTCATAAGTTTTAAGTTTTGTTAACTTTTTTCGGCTTAAAACTTTTCTGTCGAGTTATTTTGGGTTTTGTTACCGCTCGGTAAAAAAATTCCGACGCTGAATTCACATTCTATTGTCTCGGCAGGTTTTTGTTTTAAAACTAGCCTTATTTACTATGATAAATCTAGTTTTTTGACATTTTCGCTTTTTTCGTTATTGTTTCTGGTGTTGTATTGCAAGTGGTGCGAAGCTCAGCTTCGCCTCTGCTTAGAAAATTCTCACTTTTTATGTTCGGCAAACAATTTTTCGTTCAATTTTGAAGTATTTGTGATTTTTGTTATGCGTATCTACAATGTTCTGTTGTTGTTGCTTAAATTTCTGCAAAAGAGCTTCGCCGCGGAGTAAGAATAAGCATTTTTTGTTTTCACAATTGAATTGTTTGCTGGGGTTGCTCTAGGCAACTGAGCATTTCTAGATTTCAAATGCGATAAAAAATGGGACGTGACAACTCTCGAAAATTTAATTTAGCAAATTTGGCAATTTGTGGCATGTTTGTTCCGAGCTTTGAACTTTGTAATGAAGTGTGTTTCAGTTTTTTTTTCCAATTTTTTTGTTTTCCACGAAAAATCAAATACACAAATAATTATCAGATAAGGTTGAATGATATATCATTTAAAACCTTTTCAGTCGTTATTCGAGCCGCTTTAAAAAATTTCCAAAAAAAAATCTCAGTTCGTGAAAAATCGGTCTAAATATTTTAATTTTTTGTCTTATTTCAGGTAAAGCAGGCAGGTTTATTAGAACAAACTAGTAGTAAATCAGCTATAATTTTTTCATTCAAGCCCTAAAAAGTTTAGTAGAACTGGATGTCTTTTTTTTCGGCGCCATCTCAGGAATGAAAAAAAAACTTCAAAGATATAATAATTTTTTTTATTCCTATTCTTTGATGAAAACGGTTATCCAATTTGCCCATTTTTTATTGATTTTTAGAAACTTCCAAAACCTAATCTTTCGTTCAGATACTTTCATCATACCACGCACAAAAAAAAGAAAAGTTACAAAAATGAACTTTTTATAAATATGATCAGAACATTCTGAGCCAACTGCAACGCAACCGGCTATCTTTGTTGACAAACAAATGTTCTATTGTTGTTCTGACCATTTGAAAATTAGAAATTAGAAACTTTATCTTCGGGTGTGTTTTAGTTTTTATACCTTTTCTTTTGTTTTTCATGCAAGATCAGTTGCCACAAATTATCATCGGAGTCAATTGAGTGATAAATCGTCATAAAGCTCTTTGAGTCGTTATTCGAACGGTATGAAAAAATATATTAAGTTCTTTTCCACTGTCGAGGAACGTGTATTAAATTTTGATTTTTCGTCTAATTCCGAGCGAGTAAAGCAAGCAAGCAGGCTTACAATAGCTTAATTCGATAGC